AGGTAATTTCTGAGTACGGGCACAAAGCTCGAGCCGTAGCCACAGCTTGTAGTCTCCCGCGTATACAGATAACAGTGGACAAACGTAAATTAATGCGAGTAAAATTGAAAAAAAAATCGATTTTGCATCCTTTAGTGTAGAAGTTAAAAGTGTAAATTACTATAAAACTTCACCCTTATAACTTATTAAATACGTTTTAAAGGCTCCAAAGGTCGCTAAAATTCCAATCGATCACATTATACCGTTGCATAATGTGATTGATTATAATCTTAGCAACATTCGTCGCTGCACACCATACTTAATAGACTATAAAATTGAAAATTTTACTGCGACTTTATAGCTTGGATGTTGTATTATAATTATTTTATAGAGAATAAGTTTAGAATCTTTAAATAACCCGCCAATAAACCATAAATTAAATGTTTAATTAGAGGTATTTAATTACGGTTAGTGAACATTTCCTTAATAAAACATTAAATTACAGCCAAACCCGTAAACAACGGACAACGACGAAAAGAAAAAAAAATCTACCGTTGTTTGGAGATTATTTTGTACGCAGTTGTGTTCAATCTTCTTGAGAAAATGGCCGCCGTTTAGAGGTGTCCGTTATTACAGGTTCGATTGTATATATATATTTTTTATCAATCATAGCAAGTGTTTGTTTTTCGAAGCACACATTAGATTATAATTCCAATGAGTTGCGGTAGTAGATGTTTATCTATCATTAGTTTGTGCATAGTCTTGTCTTATTCATCGTTCTATTCCCGGGGGTGCTGTTACAGATAACAAGCCACCAGCCTTAGGTTACGTTAGAACCGCAGTTTTACCGTTATTACCTTCTGTAATCCTAAAATTGTATTAAAAATTATTTTTATACGTAATCTTTTGGGGAAAAAAATATATTTTGGGGTATTCCTTTGGGTAATAAATCGAGTTTATCGAACGCTTCGCTCGCGGGTTTGATGTACATTTTTTTTTTAAATTCGCAAAAATAATCACCTCTACTGTGTTAATTTTTGTCTATATTGCCTCTCGTGCAAGTATTTTTTTTTTATATTTTAAATGGTCACAATTGGCTTTAGATAATTGGAGATTCTTAAGAGATAAGAGAATTTAGAGGAGTAATAAAATATGTGTATATGTGTACATAAATTGTGTGTAATCACAATCGTTCGTTGTACAAAAAGATACAGCACTTAATTGCCTCGAAGAACTGCGGGGAGATAGATCTAGTCGTAGTCAGCATTTTTATTTTTTTTATTTTTTTATTTTTACGTCTCAGCAGAATTGCAAGAGGGTCGAATTTTATTTTATCGATTTGTTAAGATTTCTAGCTCAACTTAACAATAAATTCAAATAATTTGTTCAAATATTGGTCTTATTTTAATTTAATTCTCTCTATAAATTCTTTAGGAAACGTAATTTTTATTACAATTAGCATTTATTATTATTATTATTATTAAATAAGTTTAGTCATAAAATAATTCCGGAGTAATTGCAAAAGACAAAATCAGCCTAAAAACAAAAATAAATCTAAAAATATTAGTGGTTCTTGGCGAAATAAGTAAGATACAAAACATTTTTTTAAAATGTTTAAACTGATTGGTTGATGAGATAGTCGTTAAGCGGAGACACGCTTTTATTTGCTTATTTAAATTTATTCGACCAATAGTCGTTAAAATTATTGATTTTTAAATTTTTTTTACATGCATCTCGCTTATATTACGAGGAACGACTTGTATTTATGAAAAATCTTAATTGTCTGTTTTCTGCACTATTTCCAAAGCTATTTCTGCTTATTTACGTTTCAATCTGAATCAATTTTTTACGTTTTTATTGTAATTTAACACGACTAATAACCGTAAAATAAAACTTAATAATACAGGTTGTTCTCTATACGTATACATAGGATAATTTTGTAATTTCGAGGTCATTTCGGTTCGAAAAAATCATTAAAAACTCGCTGCCATTACGTGATATACAATCATTTGAACGTCGATACCATAAAATTTGTGGACTGTTCCCATATAAGGATATTAAAATTCAATTTTATTAAGTTTATGTTTACGCTATTTAATGCTAATTTTTGCCATTCACGTTGTTTGTCGGTGAATTTTCGTTTGTTCTTCGACAAATTTAAATATTTGTTTACTTTTTCTGCCAATTAGGCCAATAAATAACTTTATGCAAAATTATACAAAAAATAAAAGATAAATCGAGTTTAACATTTTTATTTATTATAAAAATATTTAAAATTCTTTTTTAGAATTCTAGATTTCTCGTTAGTACCGGAAAGTTTAGGACTCTCGCAAGGTCTAGGAACCTTGTGAGAGTTAGTAGACTACGATTCTCGTTCGTACCGGAAACGGTAGCGTAACCAGGCCCCTGGGGCCCTCCCCGGTTTCTAATACAAGTACTAACGAATATAGGATTGCACGTTTAATTCAGGCCCATCGGTTCTAGTTACATTACTGACTGGAAAACATCCTAGAAGGGCTAATTAGCAGGCTATATTCTTAGTTAGTTCATTAACCTGACTCGGTTCATAGCCAAAACCAGTTAACGGCAGGCATACATTTGTGTTTGAGGCCTCACAAAGGGCGAGAGTCCGTGGGAAAACAAAGCTACAGAATGAAATAAACCACGTTAGAATTTATTTAATATGAGCAAATTAACAAAATACCGCGAATAATTATGTATTTATTCTGATTTATTTATAATTATTCAAATACAGTATTTTATTTTTGTAACCGAAACAAAAGTATTTAAAGATAACTATTAATTTGCATAGGAAAAAATGTAAAACTGTATTTTAAAATTAGAAAAATTGAGTCGTTTTACAAGGTTATTCGAGAAATATTTAATAAATTTAAGAATATTTTTATTGGATAAACAGCAAAATAATCGATCATTATTCATCATTTTAATATATTAATAACCACTAATCTATTGCCTCATCGATTTTTCCTCGGCTCTTCGTGCAAACTCCTGGCCTTGTAAATGATATTTTAACTCAAAAAATATTCAAAAATATAAATAATAAATAGATCTTATCGCTTTTATTAATAATGGTTTATGATTAATTTTATAAATTCGATAAACGGATGATATATGAATAACGATAGGAACGTACGGCGTATCATTATGTATTATGGTGGATTCTCTTTTATAAATAACGTATACCGTTCTAATAAATTATTAAATAGCTAATTTATTAACTCCTACTTATCTTTTATGAATTGATTTTATAATATTCTTTACTCTACCTGTATTAAATTTAATCAAAGTAAAGAATCCTTACGTAGTGCCTGTGATAATGACAAGGTTTCTATTGTTGTGAGGGGTAAAGTATAGAGATTAACAATCGGTTTGATAAGGGATCCAGGATCGAATCGTGTCCGATTTGCTTCTCTGTGTTTACTAATTCGTCTCCACTTTAGTGTATACTTTCCATTTGCAACCACTCCCATGGCTAAGAACCACACCTCGCCTTCTGCGTATGCTTTGTGCTCTCTTCGTTCCACCCCTAGTTAAACCGAACTACCGAAACGAGTATTGCTCCATCGAAGACATCCTCCTAGTCTGTCCTACAGAATTTTCATCTGGCTTATGTTTTTAGGTTGGCCCACTGCTTAACCAGTTTATCTTCTTGCCTCGCCCGCACCTCACCCACTTCCTATACCATTATGGGTTCGGCTGGTAGGTAATGGACGTGTGACGTGCCCATTCTTCCTTGGAAGAATTAAATCTCTTCCAGGACAGAAGGGAGTAATGGGTAGAGAATAACAGTAATTAATCTATGGAATTATAGTAGAAACAGTAAAATAAATTACACGGGAGAAGCCGCAGTTGCAAAGGCGATATTAGGGCATAAGAATATCGTAAATAAAAATCATTTAGTGTTATCGATCGATATCGATCCGGAGCCAACCAATTGAAGATTTCGATTAATTATTATACCACTTTTAGCATAGTAGAGGCTACTACACGCGACCCATTGACGGTGATATCGATCCACAAGACTGCATTCAGTCTTCTTGCTGGGCATCTTGCGCTCCTACACTTACTATGTTACTTTTCAATGGATTATTACGCATCCCCTACACATAAAACAACCCATAGATTAATATAATACACATAAAACCATATTTATACATAAAAAATACATTTAGCAACAGCTTTAATTGCATTTTTACGCGTTAATCTTAGGAGGATGATTGTGTCCTTACACATTTATCAAATTTCTGATGCTTTTTTTAAATATATTCTACGTATTTATTGTATAAATAAGCAGTAAAAACCGGTTTAAAATAATAATTTTTGACGTTTTTCTCTACTTTGGCTCGGGCATTGTATGCAAATGAGCCTATTAAAATTCTTTAGCAACTCGATATATCTAGATATAAACAATAAAATTTAACGATTCTCTGTAGATTTTTCAGAGTGAAGAGAGACAGAACGATGGATAAATTATTGACGTTTCTGTCTACCTGTCGTCTAGACTCAATCCTTGACTAAACCTATATCCGGGGAAGAATGAGAAATGGTTAATTCTCAATTAATCATGTCTCAACTTTCTTAAGAGTGGTCAATACTTCAGTCTCTTCCTTCCTCTCCGTTTGATTATAAGAACAGAAGGAAGCGGAGGTTGAAATATCGACCCCCTTCTCGGTTATGGATCTCGAAAAGTTACATTATGATTAATTGAGAATTAATCATCCCTCGACTTTCTTAAGACGTAGACTTTATATACAAGACCGACAACTTTCTGTCTTTCTGTATAAAAGACATTTGCAATCGTCTTTATTATTATTGCAAGATCGATCATTTCTCTTCAAGTTTTATCCATTAATATAGCATCAGTCGCATCAGAAATTGTAATTTTTTCTTATTTCCAGCATTTATTTCCTTATTTATCTTTAAGAACATTCAAACGGCAATTATTTTTCGTTAAATTTACAAATATTCTACGCCAAATAGAATTCCTTTTTTTCATAAATTAACGTTCTTACATGCGAAAATTCGATTTTTCTGCTATTCTTTTCCAGTTAATTCTTCTAAAAAATATTCAAATGTATAGATTAATCTACAAGAAAGCGATAGAAAAGGTAATTTTCCTTTGTAATTAATGTTTTTATTTCATGAAAAATGAAATTAAACGTCTTACATAACGCATTATGCTTTGGATCTTCGGGCCAAAGTCTCATTCTATTCAATTACACGAATACGTAGAAGACAAATAATTTATTTATCTATTTATTTTTTGTTAACGGCATAATTACTCTCTTAATTTCATTTATTCTCATTAATAATTGCTTTAAATTAAATTATTGATAGTATTAATCACGGCGTAGATCCTGTAAATAGTATTTATCACAAGGTATACATCTACACACCGCCACACTATGTTAAATTATTGATATTTATCATAACTGTAAAGTCTGTAAATGGTATTTATCATAGTGATAGAGTATTTAGGTGTATACCTTACCATTAAATTGCTAGTAACTATCACTATAGACTAATGCCTATAGTGTAAAGTCTGTAAATTAATGCTGTACGCTAAATTACTGGTGTTTATCATACTGTAAAATCTATATTTTTGGCTTTAAATTACTGATATTTAGAATTTTTACATGTTGTAGTAAGTTCTGACATTAACAGTGCTCCATCTTGTAAATAGAAGCATTTGTAAGATGGAGCACTTAGAGTACAAAAAGTATTATTAATCAGGATCTCAGATGCCATTTGCAGGTTCTGCAATTATGATAAATACCAAATAACTTAATGTAAATCATAATAATAGGTTTGTAGTGTATAACAAGAATCGGTTCATACCGGATAATTGGATACAGATCATCACCTATTGTTTCCATTAAGGATCTAGACTTTGTTTAAGTTCCTTCACACAATAGGGTATAAAGGGCGAGAAAATATATTTAAAATTTAGTAAATCATAATTTAATTCTGTACAGGGGGAGAAGAAGGGAAGAAGAAAGGAAAAAAAAAGAAAATGGTATTGATTATTGATATTCAATATGGAACACACAACCGAGATATATTTAAAATCAGCAGAAAATACCGCATTTTATTGATTTTGTAGAATCAATATCAACAAAGCTCTTAATTAGCATTCAGACTAAAGAATTATGTTTAATGATGCAAACAGTATCGTGTCCTATCGTCTACCCATATTATGATTTTAAACTGCGCCAGACGGGTTATTATATTTAATAATTAAATTAATTTTTTATAAATTTACATTCGTATGTTAGATACGAAGAGTAGCGAAGAGCATACCAGACAAGAGTGCAGACTGTTGGACTCAGAACCCATTTCCAAGGTCATATGCCATACCCAACTATTGTCCTTTTTTTTCTGTAAGGCATTCGCAGATAGTAGGTTAGTTGCCCTCTTCCAGGTAGGCGTATCAATGACGTTTCTTTTTAATCTCTCTATCGAGTTTCTAGACATATTTATACTATAAAAATACGGAAATATTGTTTAGTAGTACTGTACTCTCGGTATACATCGATCTGGAAGCCTTCTGGATGTATTGTACAGTACATGATCAATTGTTTAATGACACTGTCCGCATTGATCATCTACATCTAGAAGTCTGAAAGCCTTCTAGATTTAATTAATTAAGCTAATAACGCTAAAACTTTAGTGGTTTACATCGAAAACAGTGTAAATAATTGAGAGAATTGTAGAAAATAATACTATAAGCCGGATTTAAATTTGTACTTCTAACAATCTAGAAGACTTCTACGTACAGCGAGAATATTAACGTCGAAAATTAGGTGGTTTGGGGGGAGAAAATGATATAAATAAGTGAAAATTGTTAGAAAATAATATCTAGAAGACTTCTAAATATTATTTTCTATCATAAATCTGGAAATTTAAATGCAGCTGATCAATTGTTTAATCACTTTGATTTGTTTACATTTACGTGTCTAAACACTTCTGGATGCAATTAATTAAATTGATAACACTAAAAATTTTAGAAAATAATACTATAAGCTCCATTTAAATAGAGATATTCGTCAATGTGAAGGCTGCTTAATAGTACTGTCTACATTGTTAGTTGCACCCAGAAGGCCTCTACATACAAATAATTAACCGAATAACACTATAAGTGTGGTAATTTCGACGAAATAAACAGTATGAATGAATAAAAAATTGTAGAAAATACTTTATAAAAGTGTTATTTTAATATTTAAATCATAAACAGAAATCTGTATGGTGTTGTTTTAGTGAAATTTCTTTGTAAAGTAAACACTAAATCTGCTTATTTTTCTTAAGGTGATAAGAACTAATTTACTTTTCTGCGTTGGAAAAACCTTTTCATTGTTTATCTTTTAGTCTGATTCTTGAATAAACTAGTTTTTTATACACACAAAAATAGTTACTTGCAGGATAAAAGTACTTTAAAATAGTGTCTGCGTGGCTTTGTGTTTTGTGCATCTTTCAGCTCGATTGTTATCTTTAATTAAAGGGAAATATTGATAAATTTTATTCTCGAACGGTTATTTTTCTATAAATAAATGTTCAAGAACAACTGGAAGGTATTTGTATCTTTAGAGTACTAACAAGCCAAAGGAAGTGTTTAAGACTTCTATTGTTGTTCTCTGTATGAGGAAAATATATTAGCATTGTCGAAGGATTATTTATAGATAAATATAAGTAAACTATATGAAAATATAAATAAAATCCTCTATAATGTACACAATTATCCACCGTAATCAGCATGGAAATGTCATAAATTGTTACAGACTCTCCCTCTTTTAGTGTAACCAGATGTGTTTTGCTAATTGTCATGTGTTTTGCTAAATTTTGTTCAGAAATATCCGAAACAATGGAATGTTTTATTGAAATTGTTTAAAAAATGGTAACAAATTAGAGCAAAGTGATAAATGAGATTAATATCACACGTTACGCGTACAACCTGTTAACAGAATGGTGTGATATGTGCTAAATATATAACGAGATTTGGATCAAAGTGTGTAATTAAACTCGAAAATACGACGTTAAAGATTTGTAACTGGTTAAATACAGTGTTACGTTAATTTAAATACTAGATTTATAAGAGGCCTTTACTTCCAGCAGCAAATTATAACACGTAAAAATATCAGGCTCTAAGCTATAATGTACGAGGCCACCAGCTAACAACACACATAAAAGTATGACGTTCTATCTTAAGCCTTAATATATAAGCTAATAGGCCTTTTCCATTCACCAAATTATAATACATAAAGGCCCTAAGAGTATTTCTTAAAATTCAAACACGAAAACATTACTAAGGAAGGAACACTAAATATAAGTCTAAATACGCAATATTAATCCTATAATAATCTGTTTTATAAAGCGTAGGGTGGTCCAGTAGTCAGTTAACAGTTAACTGACTTCTGGACCACCCTACGTTTGAACGTAACGCTAAAGTTGCATATAGCAGGCATTTTTTTTTATCGTTTATTCATCGAAACGGAACGAAAACGATTAAATAATTTACAAGTAAGCGTATGGGGTGGTCCAGAAATCGATTAACCAAAGATAAAACGAAGCGCATTCACCCGGTTAACCGATTTTCGGGCCACCCTGGTAACTCAACAGAGTTGCACTTGGTACCGTATTCACATTCAACAGAACGAGGAGGGCGACGTTTGACGTCACAAGGTGACCGATACGGAAACCCGAAAATATCCCTAACTAACACCACCGTATAACAGAGATTTTCGATAATGGTAAGCCATAGAACAGTCGATAATAAGTGCATTCGATTAAGCTTTTGATATAGCGTAGAGAAACCGCACAAATCACCCGTTATAACGTCGCGGTGGACCGTATTACCAAGGCAAAAAGCTTTAATATAGTGTTTTAATAATTCGAAAGGTTCACAAACAACGAAACCATTTCTGTCAATGGACGTTTCTCTCTCCTTTTTTTTCCTCCTCTCGAGGGAATAACCAAAAATTCGAAATAAGCAATCATTAGTTTGAAACAGATGCCTTTATCTCACAAGAACGGCATCGAAATTCTCAGAATAGGACCCGGACAGAACCACCTGCGCTTAGTCTCCGAGAAGACTAAACAGCTGCTTTGATTCCCGTATACTCCGATACCATCTTGGAATAAAATCGAGAAAATACGGATATTCTAGAGTACTTGCTAAATATTTAGAAGGCCTCACGCTACGTAAAACACGGCAAGAATACAACGTGGAAGGTTTACACTTATGTTTAGTGTTTTTTTTTTTTAGTAATTTTCTAGCGTTTGAACTGTAAAAAGTTCCGTCGGGCTCTAAGCTAAACGAGTTAAGGCCTCACATTTTCGTCTGTATTATAATTTGGAAGAAGGAAAGGGCCTCTTATACACTACAGCTTAAAGCCTCGCATTTTTATATGTATTATTATTTGTTGGAAGTAAAGGCTCTGTTATATATCGTAGCATAGAGCCTGACACCTTTACGTATATTGTCATTTGGAGAAAAGAAAGGACCTTTTTTATGTTATAGTTTAAGACTGCCAGTCTGTCCTCCACGAATTCAATAAAAAAAAAATATATTATTTCTGTACGGAGACGTTCGTTTGTCTGTTTGAATTATTAAGGAAAGTAAACTAACTTTTAATGCTTTGAAAATAAATTTAATGTTGATATTGTTATTATTTTAATTTAATTTTTCAAATGAATTAATTAGGATAGAAATCGGTTTAATTATCAGTTAATTTACTTGTCCCCGGCCGCGGTATATCGAGTGGCCACAAGAAATACCACGTGCCAAACAAAGAAACAGACAAAGGACATAATAGAAAAGACCAGAAAGGTATATTAAAATCTTGTTTCTGTTTAGGTCTTTGTTTCTATTTTTAGATAAATTTACAGGTTTTTAAGTCATTTTACCAGGCAATTAGCCGGTAAACGATATAAAACGAGTGGTTTTGTTTACTGGTGGCTTAGAACAAGGCAGAGAAGGTAGAAAGGTAGAAGTGCTTTTCATATTTTAGTATTATCTTAAAGACGAGAGATAAGTGAAATAATTAAAAAAGGAATTATTAAATCTCGGTTTTCTTTTCTACAACTAATGTTTTTGTACAGTTAAAATATTACAACTGTACACAAAAGATTTATTTCTATTCATCCATCTTACAATGTATGACAACCGTTCTACTTTTAACAAAGAAAGGAAAGGAATGCCACTAACACGTCGTATAAACTGTTTTATTTAAGATTTTAAACAATTTTTTAATTTCTTTTTTTGTTTTATTATTCTCTCCCCTCGAGGGAAGCGAGTTTTACGCCATTTTTAGTAGTGTTATTGTATTAATTTGAAGGATTTTATACATTTTTTTTCTTCGTGTACGTTGTGTAGTGTTGTGTTGTCCTGTGTTTTGTACGTGTGTGTGTTTCCTGTAAAATATTTTATTATATATAAATTTATTAATTGGAATATTAATTTTCTGTTAGTCTAATCATTTTACGTTTTTGTTTTGTTATTGTTTTAGTCCAGGTTTATATTACTTTTAAGATTATTTTAATTTTCATTATATTCTTTTGGTGTAAGACTTCCATCGGTAAAGGAACGAAGCGGGGGGGGGAATGTAGTCGAAAAGGTAGAAAATATATAAAAAGGAGGGTTTATTAGTTTCGGAAGGGACGTATGCTATCGACCTTTTGTAACGAGCGTCTAGATTCGCCTATATGATTCCGTAATAGTAGGTTAGAAATGCCCAGATGTCTGACGTAGACAAGGCAGCTCTCGACCCCCGGACCAAAACAAAAAATGGATCGCTTTATCTATAGAATTCATTCGTCTTTTTGCTAATTGACTCCCATTCGGTTTGTTAGCACTTTAAGAAATCTTTTGATGTATGGAAGGGAGGCAAACCTTTGAAGGCCTCTTCGATCGTACACTCGGCTTTCGTTATTGATGTCCGACCATTTTTAGGCATTCTGCAAAGAGAAAAATCTTTGAATTCTATCGAACAAAAACATTCAAAGTTCGAGTAGAAATGCATTCCAAACAAATACAAAAAAAGGAGATTAATAATGTTTGTTGTTTCCGAATATTCTGTGATTTTTCTGTTTGTTCCTTTGTCTTTTCTTCTTTATCTCTTCGAGTAGACACGTTTTTATTTCGACAATTTCTTTGTCCACTCGTAGCGTGTACGCGACAAAGATTTCGACGTTCTAAGCGTTTTACTTCGTTATATCGAAGGGATTTGAGTATCAGAAGCAGTTTTCTATTGGCTAAACTGCAGTGTAGGGCCTGGCGCTTACGTCCTGTAAAATACATTGCATAGTTTACGTATAAAACCGGGAAAAAGTGTGGAAAGTACGAAGTAAACGGGCGAAATTTCCATTTATTCTGGCGCCAAATGTGCAAAAATTACGCACTTAATCCTTCCATTAAAACAATTACGTGGAACAATTTTATAATAAATACGTCAAAGCTATTAGAAATTGCTTTTTATCTAATTAAAAATCATATCCGCAGCTGCTTATTATATCATCTTATCGTTCCATCGTATAAATCAATATCACAATTTAAGTGATCCTCTTTATAATTTATTATTGGTCAAATTACGCCCCGAGGCCCGAGCGACCTTGAACCCGACTGTCACTAATTTTACACCAGTTAAAATATATTTATACAAAGGAATCGTTTATAACGTTCGACTACGGATAAACTCGCATCTCTCCCGTTCTAAACAATAAAATTCCCTCGGTTTTACGTTTCCCACCTCCCTATAGTCCAGCGTTATTATAATATAAAAGACGTTATAAATGATTTTCCGTAGGGACGATGCGGCAAAGATGTGTTAAGTCTCACTTGTAGAACGGAATACAAAAACAATTTAGGGATTCAGGTCGTCTCCTACACTTATCCTTTTCACCACTTCTGTTAGAAGGTCTCCACTCGGAATGGAGGCACTCCATAGCTCCTATGTACAGTACAGACGTACGGTACAGCTGCTAGACCGACTACTCCACCTCAATTTACGTCTTACAAAGTATTAATTCGTATTCTTTCCTAATTTATATCATTCGAAAATAATTATAAACTCGGTGAGACGAGAACGACAGCTCTTATTTAGTGTAGTACTCGATGTAACGTATCATTTTGACCTAGTGAACCCGGTTATAACGCTAGGAAGGCGAATTTAATTGTTACTTTCTGGCCTTTGTAAACGTTTGAAAAATGTTTAAGAGGGAATTTAACGTTGGAAGACGTCTTAGATCTTTCCTCTTTATATCTAATGTTCTGTATATTTCCATTTTATTTGAATTTAGAACACTCGTTTGTAGAATAAATAATTCTTTTAAAACTTATATTGAGAGTTTCTTTCGGAAATTTTGATATTTTCTCTTATAAATCTTTTTATTTTAATGTTAACAATTTGTCTTGCCCCGGTGCAGTTTGCATTGTAGCTGTTACTATGTACTGTAGTCCTCATCCTGCATCATAAAAGATCCCAAAACCCTAAGGGGGTCGTCCTTTAAGGAGTTAAATTTCTTTCTATAAGACTTATCGATCGAAAAGCAAAGTTATGCACTTTGTAAAGGAAGATAAATTAAATCGATTTGCAACTAACAAAGGAAGAATTTCAGAAGTTATCCTTTATTTTATTTCCATTTTCTTTGGCCGCCGACGTTAAAAATCGGGTATTAATTCTAAAAAACCGGAGCATTTATCAAATTAAAAGTGATAATGGAGTGTAGAATTACGTAGGATCTATACGGCGCGTACCCTCGATTCTTCTTCTGTATGCTAATTTAGTAAGAGAAAACACAAAAAGAATAAGCCATACATAAATAATAAAGCGTGTATTTTTACATCCTCTCCTCCTAACCTTAGCCTATATTAAAGTTAAATTAAGATGGTATCCATTGATGCGTTTTGCTGTTAAGGTTTTTCCAGATAAAGTAAGTTCTATTTACCAAATCATTATCTCTTGAAATCATTAAAGAAAACAGTTTCGTTAAGGGGGAGCAGAGAAGGGTTTAATCTGTATGCAGATACGTAGCCCGCAGTGGTCTGATGTTTTGCATGCATAAATCATGAGGTTCTGCTACAACCGACCAGAACAATTAGGATGAACCTCGTAATTCTCATTCTTCTATATGTGATGTAAGATGCGAAGAGATGAAGCATCTTCTTCTTCTTCTTTCGCATTTTTTGGCCCGTCCACCGGGATATTTTCCACTCAAATTTTACATTTGTCATCTCTGGGAACTTGTCGGGGATTTTAAAGACACACAACTGGCTTACGTAACACTAAAATTAGCATTTAAAGCTAATTTTAAAATGTCATACAAGCTCGTTTATGCATTCCCTCTTCGATTTTTGCTCCAAATGCGTTATTTTGCAGGGAACTAAATATATAAAACTTAGTTAAGGATGTTGAATATAATTTCAATTAATTAAAAAAATATTAAAACTTGTTTAAATCCGTCTTACTCGGTGGAAGAAGGATGTTATATGCAAATTTAAAATGTAGAGTAGGCCTAAATAAATAATTCATGACGACTAAAGATTAAAATAAGAATAAAAATAAAATAAAAATACCATCTTTTAAGTGGAAGGTATGTTTTATAACAATATTCTTTTGTTTTTTAAATTGTTCCCTTCGTAGAAAATCGCTTAATAATCCCGACTGAAGTTAAATTCTTTCGTAAATTCCGTTATTAAAGATCACAATTTCTCCATAAATTAATTGCCTTCTTTCCATAGGCCTTCACAATTTCTACGCTTTAACTATTTAGAAACGTGTTATAATTCATTTACGCCCGATTTTAAGCGCTTAAAATCACTTGTTAAGGAATTAGGATCGAAATTTTAATGGTCAACTGCGCTTAGAAGTGTTAAAAACTCCTCGTAATTTTCTAAAATGTGTGTTAATAGTTAGACAAAAAACACATTAATTGTAACGAATTTCATTTATAATTTAATCGCTGGGTTATATAGAACCTTCTACGCCAACCTTTTCACATTTATCTCACATCCAGCGAAGGTAGTAAGTAGTTTTTATTATTATTGTATCATACAATTGAAAGTGAACTCACTCTACACAGTGCCTATAGAATTATAAGAATGTTTTTGTATGTAACTTTGTATCTAAATTATTAGGTATACAAAACCTTCTGCCAGTTCGCATAAAGTAGTACTTTTTTTATTATTATTTATCTGAGGCTAAAACGTATTGATTTATAAAAGTTTCCCCTCTATACGTAGGCCGTAAGCCTCTTGTATTTTATGTATAATTAACGATTTATATACAGCACGATATAAATATATTAAACCTTATCATATCGCTATAGTAACAATGTATAAGAACTTTGTCTTATCATTATTTTACGTAAGTATTTCGTCGACAGTTTTCTTAAGGTTGCACCTATAACCCCGTTAAAACGAATTTTACCCGTAAATAGATGAAGTACAGTACATCTCTCTGTTATCCATAAAGGCTACCATTGTACAAAGCCTAATTAGAGTATATAAAAATGATCCTTCCCATACCAGTTAAAGCATCTTTACAGGAGTTTGCACTTTGCATTTGTACACAACTTCACTATCTAAACCAGCGCTTTAAATATGGCTCAATCTTTACAGTATTTACACCAATAAAAGGTAGCTTTATACAGTGTTTTCGAGTGGTAAAGCAACACCTTACACAGGTTAGTAATAGGACGGGAGCCTTAAAGATTATAAAAAGGCTCTTTTGTATATTGTAAATAGAGAAACCTGGTTGACATACAGTGTCGACAGTGGTATATGTAATTGTAGTGTAGTTAAAGGCTGTTGTTATTAACTCGTAACTATATTTTTATTGGTTACAGACGAGGTGGAAGCGGTCAGAGGTGACGTCGAGCACCTTTTCGTCGGATTAATTTGGACCAGATTCGAAGACAATACAACAAAACAATTTTTAACGTCGCCAACAAATATCACTGGACTGTGTTGGTCTCTCCGGCGGCGCATGCTCTGTTGGGCCTAGTCTGCAGCGTCGGCTGCAATGGCAGGCAATGAGACCTCGGCAGACATGGCCATGTGTACAGACAGTGAAGTGACTAAACTGAGAGGCACGAAAATTTTTGTAAGTGTGGAAGAGGCCTTAATTGACGTGCTGATTGTATCGTACCATTGCGACAGCAAGGTCTTCCAAGGTGCGTTATTGGACGTTAGTAAGAAGTAAGTACCGTGTCCGATGCAATAATTAACAAAAATAAAACATTTTAAATGGGAATTAAGAACGAAAACGACGGATGTCACCTTTAATTTATGCACGAAAACGCCACCGTACCACACACGTCACTTACACTACACTGACACTTCCCCCCTCTCTCTCTCGCAAGATTTTTAACAAGTGCAACCCTCGTCTCTCCTTCCAAACGTCTTTTAGTATTTACATTCAAACGCCTTTTTTTTAATCGAAGGAAGAAAATTAATAAATTTTAAGTGTCAAGTTTGAGTAAATGTCGAAGGTGGCACGAAATCACGCTGGACATTGTTTTGTCATCGCAATTCAATTAAATCTCCGTCGTATTTAAATAAAAAAAAAATAATAATAATTTAAATTAAATATTTAATTAGGCCAATATTCGTGTTTAGATCCTATTTGCAGTCACCTACAGAAGAAAAAAAAAAAAGAAAGGAAACTGTATCCAATTACTAAAGTTGATTCTGTTAAACAGTAAAGGAACTTTGAACCGTTCTTATCTATACTTTTTTTTCTATCTAGTCGTGATGTTAATTTATGTCCTATTGTATTATACTTTTAACAAATTATTTAGCTATTCATCTAAATTATAAAAAAATATTACATGCTTTTTTCTCCTCCTCCATCTGTAAACATTAATTACAATTCTGATCCCCCCTTTTTTTTCATTAAATGGAGGGAAAAAACAGGGGTTAATGTTTTGATTTTGAACCGTCAAACAAGGTTCAAGGTGACTTAAATTGTGCATTCTAATCACATATTTTTATTTTAAACATTTCATTATTAGCTGGTTCATTATTTTTCTATTGAGTCTAGTCATGTTTATGCAGTAAAATATTGCTTGTTGTTGCTAGAAATTATTGAAAAATATTGTAATTTTATAAATTTTAAATTTTATTAATTCTATTTAAACTTATCAGCACACGTGTAAGATTAGATAAATGTTGATGTGTTATTTAAATAATTTACATTTAAGCATGTGGTGTTTACATATGGTTATAATAACTGTTTCGCTTGTGGTATGTGACACTCATTCTCTGATTTATTATAAATTCGGCTTTAAAAAGGTCAAAAATCAATTATTCTTATGATGAAACCGTAAACAGATTTCAAATTCTAACACACTTCACCCGAATTAATATTGTTAACGAAGTGTTTTATGCTAGTTTAAAAAATCTCAGTAAATTATTTTGAATTTTTTGTCATATAAAGTACAGTTTTGGTGATGTGTATTGTTATTGAAGATGGCTTTTCCTGTACTTGTAAGTGTTCTGTCTCTCATCTGACCTGTTTTGGGTTATTGATATTGTTCCTTTTTTTATATATTAAAACTCCGAAATCAAATTCTTTAAAGTAACTTTAAACAGATGCCAAGTTCTAATATTTCATCCCCATGATTTATGAATCAAAATTTACTCTAAAGTGAGCCTCATTTCTATTCAAAACTTCTAATTATTTTAAGTTTTATTTTAAATATTTAAAAATTTTTGAGTGTTATAATTACAGTTTACCTGTATTTTGTCTTATTATTAATACTTAATTGGAGTGTTTTTCTGTATCCATTTTAAGTTGTTATTTACTCGTAGGTCCTGTCTAGTTATGTAGCCTTCTGGCTTTAAAATAAGATAAAGGTTTCTTCGGTTTACGTGTATTTTATGCATATATTTGTGTTTAATTCATAATATTTTTAATAAATAATGGAATTTTTACATTTTATATAGATAACTAACGGTAGTTTTCTTGATATTTTCCTTTGCAGTGAGTTTAAGCTGAAAGAAACTGCCATCGCAGCTATTAATTATTCAGCGAGATAGTGATATTGTTTTTTTCTCTGTTTCAGAAACAGTCCGTATGGCATTCCATTTATCAGGCCGTGGGATACAACCCCAGACTTATCAACACCAGCTGCTGCTGTAGACGATCGCTTTAATACTCTAAGGCAAAGGCATACCTACAACCAACAAGATTATACAAATGATCGTCAGGCAACGGGCATCCGATCTAGGAAGCCCCTGGCTAGAACAATCAGGGACCAGAATGTGCGAATGAGAAGGCTGCGACCTCGCCAGGTACTCTGTTCTCATTGTAGAGCCATCTGCAATGAGAATTCGGAAAACGTGCAACTGGAAAACACTAGAAAGGCCAACAAAGATTCGTGGATGCGCTCTACACTTCACGAATCGAAAACGACTCAGGACGATCAGCACAGACAATCGAAAACTCTAACTCCTGTACAAACAAATAGTGTTCCAGAAGTACAAACTTCCAGATCCGTGGAAAACGTAGTCGTTCCGAAAGTAGAATCGGAACAGAATCTCAGGTGCAATGGTTCTACGGTCTACGGTTTGATAAGGCCCGAGGAAGAAACTGCCAAAGTCGATAACGAGTATCAGGCCGTCTCGCAGAATATCTCCAATAGAATGATATTGAGAAAGAGGAAATCCGAGGATATGGGTCACAATTGTAGCGGTTGCGTGGTCCACCCCAAACACCGCAGGCTAGAAACGGTGTTGAGTCAGGAGAGGTTCGGTCCCATGGAGGGTAGCGACGCCACCGTGGGTACCACTCAGACAAAAAATTCCACCACAAAAACTAGTCCCGTTATAAAGATATCTTTCAGCAATCCGGAAGGGAGAGACACCGTGTTAAAAATACCCGCTCGACTTCAATCGGCCAGCGACACGGAGGAGGGGGGAACTACGCCCACTTGGACTAGTGGTGACGATAGAACAATTAATGGTGCTTCGGCCGCTACCAAAGCTGCCAGAAAAGCCTTGAAGAAAGCCAAAAAAGACGCACAGAAAAAATGCACGGCGGAACAACAGCACAAAAGTAGACATCACCACAAGCATAAAACCAAAAGAAAAAGAAAACACAGGGAGATAGTCGATGACGAATTACCTCAGCTTTTATCACCCAATCCGGATAGTTACTACGAAGAAGTTAAAAACAAATGCCTCAAGCAGAAATTGTCCATCAGCCTCAAAAGACTCAATGCCAAAGCGTACATGAGATGTAGCGAGAAGGGGAAGGACGAGGTGGAAGCGGAAGAGGAAGGGGGTGCGGGCGCCGGCAGTTCCGAAAGCGAATACGGAGAAGTGCCAGATTTTCCCGTGCACGAATTAGTTAAGCCCCTGATGATGAGGATCACCAGCCACAACGTCAAAAAATGCGTGCTGGACAACGGTAGGGAGATGGCCGTGGGCGACATCGTCTGGGGGAAGATCCACGGTTTTCCGTGGTGGCCCGGCAAGGTGTTGGCTCTGACGGTGTCTCAGAGAGACAACGGAGTCACCATCAACCGGCAGGCTCACGTGGCCTGGTTTGGATCGTCCACTTCGTCGTACATGCCGTGCAGTCAACTGTCGCCTTTCCTCAACGATTTCAAGACCAGATACAACAAGAAGAAGAGAGGACCCTACAAGGAGGCCATACGCCAAGCCACCTTGGAAGCAAGGCAGATCGATCAGTTACTAAACGTGACTGCCGAACTCGGTATCATTAATAGGCCAGATAGGCCAAGTGCAATGTGTTAAGACGTCCAGTTAATTTACTATCATTCTTCCTCCACAAAAAAAAGTTATATCATGCAGTTTACGTGTAAAAAAAATACCAAAAATAAAAAATAATTTAAATGCCAAAATTGTATCGACGATTAAAAAAAAAAAGAAAAAAAGTATAATCTACTAAGATTTTAATTTCCAAGCTTTTCTACAGACAGACAAACAGACAAATGCTTGATTATCGCATTCAAATATATCATTTGCTCAAATCTAAACCTGTATAGGTGATATTTATATTTGTATAGAAAAGTGTTTGTTCGGTTGTTTGTTCATTTCTCTTGTAAATAGAACTGAAGGTTAAAAGATATTTACATGCTATATACATACATACACACAAATTATGTATATGTACGTATATACACGCGACAAGTTACAGAGACACTAATTTGTATATATGTAGTAATATGCGTGCTGTGAAATTAAAGTTAAGAAATTTATATAAATACACACACGTGTATGTGTATATGTATATATATATATATATATATAAGTGTGTGTGTGTATGTGTGTGTATATATATATACATATATATGCCACTACACAGTATTTATAATACTGTGATAATGAATTATGTATAAGCTTACACTCTATTATATAGTATATAATGTCAAGTTTATACATATTTCATCACATCGATCTAAAAGCGTAAATAAATGAAATACAGATAAAATATTTTGTTGTTTTTATTTCGACTTTGACGTATAGTTTATATATACAACACGTACAGACCCATAAATTATATTTACTGAATAATTAACACGTGTGTCTGTCAATTTAATAGGATTTTTTCATCGAATCTTGTGTAATTTATCCTTCGTACTCCATATTCTACGAGTTATTTATACGTTGCGATGATTTTCTTACGACGTAATCTTTGTTAACATTCTTACCAGACGTCGTGCGTAACTCGTTACGCGTTACGCACGACGTAAGGCGCTCGACTTGTATCGTTACGTGTTAGGAGTTAATAGAGGATTGCATGTTAAATGCTTCCTGCAAGCTGTGTAACTAGACTTAACTTTAATTTATTCTGCTTAATTATTAAAAAATTAAATATTTATATTTATATAATGGAAACAAATTTGTTTTACTCGAAAGCCAAAGCGCTACGCGTACATGTATGAGTAAATATACAATATACGCGGATATAAGGCTAAGAATATTTATGTATTAAATTCTGAAATTTATCAGTTAAATCTAAATAAAATTATTATTTAAATTAATTTTAAATTTTAAAAAAATCTAATTCGTCATTTCATTCGTTAGTATTTTAAATTTGAAAAACGTCACGGAAATTGATTATTATAAGCGACCAATGACGAATATCGATTTTAAAAAAAGGAAAAAAAAACGAATTTCTATTAATTAAGCAAATACGTCATAGGCTAAAATAATAATAGATAAAATATTCAACGACATTATAAATTGATCTCCATTATAAAATTAATTAAAAATAACGATACTTTAGGGAATTAATGACTCCATTATCTTATAACAGTTTGTATCTTAATGTTAGAATTATAATATTTTTAATTTTTCTAAAAGCTAATTTCGCTTTAAAATATTCATCAATCAGTTTATATTTTATTTAATTTTTCTTTTTCTTTTTATTTTTTCCTCCTCCCATTTATTTTATAAAAATAACAAAAATTCACTCATAAAACTACATTACTCTTGTAGTAAAATATATAATTTTCTTATTAAAATATATTTTTAATCTTATTTTAAAAATTTACTTAAAATTATTTTAATTTTGATGAATTTTTTATATTTTCCCTCTTTTAAAGTGGCTATAATAGCTACAAAATGCATTATTTTGAGTGAATTATAGGATAATTAATCACTTTTCTTTATATATACATGAAGTGTTATTATTTTACTATAGAACTTAACAGATGAATCTTTGTACTTATGAATAAAAACAAAGAATTAAATAATAAAATAATCAATTATTGATCAAAAAATAAAATAATAAAATAATTTTTATTTATTTTTTAGCCTCAAACAATCATCCAAAGTCCATATTTACATTTAGGAGGTTATCAAAAAATGTCCACATTTAAACAGAAAAAAACTAAAATAAAAGAAAGGAAAACACAAAATAAAACCCTGAAAATTATTTTAAAAATATAAAAATTCTGTATTTTTTAATATTAATTAATTATCTTTTTTTATTGCTTAAAAAATTCAGCATGTAACTTAAAACCTTTAACTTTTAAAACAAATTTAACATATATAAAAGTATTTTTAATTATAAAATAAATCTATAATAAATAAATGAATATAAAATATAGAATTTTTATATCATTTCTTATAATTTAATTAAGAAAATTGAATTTTTCAGAGTCGTTTGGGGCAAGTTGACGAATGCTAAACATAGTAAGGAGCTCGTGTATTTTCTTCTCTTCGAAAGCAAAACGACATAACACACAAAAGAGGATAGAAAAGAATTTTAAACACGGCCAATTAGATCAATCTGTAATAATTAGTACGGAAGAGAGAAGATATATATAAAGCATAACATTAAAATGACAGGTGGGGTGAACTAACGAGTGAGCAACACGAATGTCTAGCCCGTTTCTATTGGTGGATAGTTTAGTCGAAAATTCCACCACTCGATACGTCTGTGACAATGACAAATGGTTAACTAACACGTGGACCGTGTTACTGAATGAAGCTTTTACGCTAAGTTTGTAATGCCATTTTCCATCCTCTTGGTTGATATAGCTAATTTTAATGCGTTGGAAAGTATTTTAAATGTTTAACACAAGTAAAAGTTATGAAAATATGTTTTGGTTTTTTTGTTTTTTAAATTTTTTATGATGGTTAAATGTTCAAGTTCCATCTTCTAGAGACAAAATAACTTGTTTGAATGGAATGTTTGCAACAATAACTTTCTGTCAAATCTGTCAGAAGATGTTTAGGATAACTTTAACAACAAGATACTATCTGTAGCATTACATTTTGTAGAAGAGCTCTTTAGCTTGACTAAACGGATTCGACTACATAACAAATCTACACTATAATGTTGTGCAGTTTCATTTCAACTTTGGAATTCCTTCAAAGATGAAACTTGTCTGCAAATTCGTCTTTCTAAAAGTTCTATTTAGAAAGTGAAATACCTGGAGTCAGCATTTAAGCTTTTCAATCTTATCTAAAATTGCATAGAAAGATTTGTTACCCCTATTACTCACTTCTTATTATCTTCTCGCCTATCAATCTCTTATAATAAATTATCATTCGTATTTCCTGGATAAGAAATCGATATGAAAAAAATGGATATCTCTATATAACGAATATTTAGTAATAGACTATAAAATGCCATAAATTTTGATTTTAAAAATAAAATTAAATATCAAATTTATAAGGATGTCTCTAGAATTTGTTCTTATGTATTGTAGAATTTATACGTATAAATGCAATAAATTTTGCAATATGTGGGCATATTCTAAGCATAAATAAGGACAGATTCTAGGCTTAAATAGGAGAAAAGTCCAGGCATATATAGGCATAAATAGGAGCAAATTCTAGAAAATATTTAGGAGGAAGAGTTTTTTAAAATTATTTTTAAAAATAAATTTTATTAACATTCTTACATTAAATGAAAATGAATTGCCTTCTTACTATGTGTATATGTTACTCAAGAAATTCAACAAACAACTAATTCTGTTAAAAATGATCTAAAATTTAAATAAAGTTATTGGAGCGGAAAATTTTCATTTCGACGCGCCGACGCCACCGTCGCGTCGCGACCGATACCAAGATGGTGGCTCGTGTTGTATCGTAATTAAATTTAAGTGATTTAATTTTCTAAAATATTTCTGTTTTCTTTTTATTGATACGTAAACACGCAAATGTTTTCGAGATTTGTGTTTTGTGGACAGTAAATAGAAATTAAGGTCGTTAATAAGGTTATTAACCTGGCGTCACGCGAATAACGCTTTGGTCGCAACGTTCGCTTCTATAGATTTTAATTACGTAAAAATAATATTCTGTTCGTCACGATTTAAATATTATAAAAATTTAATTATGAATAAAACACAATTAAAATACTTTACAAATGTTTATATTATAATTAAAATTCTCCAGAAAAATTGAATAATTTAAATAGATCACGTGATTAAATTTATTGATTTTATTGGCTAAATATTTTTATAATATGCAAGTTGACCCAGATTACTCTCCACAATTTGGGTCAACTTCTGTATAAATATATTCAAATTAAAAAATTGCCAAGTTTTAATCGTATGTGGGAATTTACATTTTTAAAATTGAACTGATTTACGATGAAAGTATTACTAAATAATGCTTGTTCAATAGAGGTACAGAAAACAAAATGGCTCCCGGTAACAAAATGGCGTTTGAATGACTTCGTTTCTTACCATTACTGCCATCTGGAATTACTTTCAAGCACTTCCAAGTAATTTATTGACACATGTATTTACAAATTTGCTAAATTATATAAAAATATGTTTATTAGACATATATTATATATACAAATAATATATAATATAANCTAAAAATTAAAAATATTGTATGATTAAGTATGAGAGAGATGTCGAACTAATGTAAAGTATTTTTTATGCATCCGAAACTGTGTTTTTTACTATTTTCGCCTTCTGAACACTAAGAGGGTATCGTTTAGCAAGCCCATTATGGGTTCGGCCAGGCTCACAATGGGGCGGCCGGGTGGTGAGGGACGGGCCCGACATATCCGGTTGGTCCACCCCCAAAAATTCCTGGGGATTTTTCGAACCGTCCGGATTCGATCACGAGTTCCTCAGAGCGGTAGGTTTCCAACTCGACCGCTCGGCCATCAGGCCCCGAAGGTGGGACATTAGAACAAATTAAGAGTTGGCTGTATAATCCTTAATGCTCTTCGTGACGATAAGTTCAAATTAAAATCAGTTGCAATGCGAATATAAAGTATATATATATACACTTTATATACGCATTATGTATTTACCGTACAGAACCGCATATATTTTAAGGCCCGGATGACCGAGCGGTTAAGGTGGCAGCCTGTACCTCTAGGGGACCCGGAATCGAATTCGGACGGGTCAAATAATCCCCAGGAATTTTTCGGAAGGTGGTCCGTTTCGATATGTCGGGCTCCGTCCCTCACCACCCGGCCGCCCCATTGCGGGCCTGGCCAAACCCATAATGGGCTTGCAAAAATATGCCCTCTTAATGCCTACAGAGCGGAAAGAGTTAAAAAAAAATGTCCCACTATCAATGGGAGAAGACATTCTGACCTGATTATTTATGGACTTCAATGCGGTTCCGAACTACGCACGAATAACGGATGACTCCGTGTTCTTTCGTGAGAAATTATTTGGTAATATAATTTAAATTTGTAGATCTGATAATCTTCAAATTCAAAACTGCAATTTATTTCTTTATACAGTAAACAAATTTCCCATTAAGACAAATCACGTAAACAAAAACACAGTTTTGTTTGAATCATAATACAAGTAAAACGGCAAGGCCGTATTGGGGACAAGACTATGTCTCGGAGTCGCACTACTAAGCGGAATCACTTTGACGCTCAAGGCAAGTCTCGTTCTCATTCTCCAATCTTCTTTGGCATCGCTGGTTTTGAGTGCGATCTTTCAAACTTCGCCGGCCACGACCACGAGGCATTTTCGGTAAAATTAACCATTATCCAATTTAGAAATTTCTCTCCGTTGCGTGTCGGCCCGGGTTGAATTTTTGTCGATGCGTAACGACAATTTCCCGTTATTTTGCACAAACAATATGTATATATAAATAAATGTAAAAAGAAAACAAATTATATTTCGGAAGTTAGTTTTATTATAAAATTATAACGGCTAGCGCCATCTACTTTGAAAAACGTTCCGACGATGAAACGAGATATCTCTGGTCAACCGGTCTAGGGTCAGCACGTGGCGACCAGCGATATGTCGGGAATAACACGGACAGGTAAATGGGTTTTCTTTTCAAAGATTCGATTTCGCGCCGTTCTCGTTTCCAACTTTGCAACGAGCGACTTATGCGCAAATCTCGCACTTCTGCCTGTTTGTAGAGAGTGTCGCCACTGAATTTTACTTTGACTCGGTTCTCGGTCCCCCGACTACCTACGAGTCTCGTTTTTTTATGCGCGCATGATTTGGGCACCTAATACTCTGTACCAAATTGCAACTCCTGACATGTACTCCTTCACACCTCTAAGCTGGTAACACAACAGGCAGTACGATTTTATAAACAAGACATAGTCTTGTCGATAATGCAAAGAAAGCGAAAGCGAAAAGCAGGATCTACTGTACACATATATTGATAAAAAGTGTGGCATTAGGGCATCAGAGATACAAAAACTTTTCTTATAATACGTAGCCTTATAAATGTGTTTAAAGAAATTCTGTTAACAATTTTTTCATTATATATCGGGAGATTGTATCCTATTTAAAGCTGCCAGAGAGATATTTAGCAGTTTAAATGCCACAAAATCTGGTGTGGTGATATTTGAAGACATTCGGAAGACATGTCAATAAAAAAATAATAATCTAGTACCTAAACTCATCACTATGACATTTTTGATGCTACAAGCAACAAATAATTTATTTGTACAAGACATTCATCCTATACAGAGACCTTAGCGATACAGACGATATAGCTCAATGCTGCATTATGAAGGCTATAATTGATCTTCTGTGATGCTTCTCAAATGCAATGTAACACTGTCTTTCGTGGCTGCCAAATTTGGGTGTCTTCGATATATATATAAGAAAATCTTTAAAATTGCATTAATGTAAACTGTCATTAACGACGTGTGAAATCGTCATTTAAAAAGAACTTGTGAAGAAGAAAAATTAATTCTACATCGAATAGCGTCGGACTCCGAGTACGATTATGGCCCGGAACCAAAACTTATCGTGGATAGTAAATCGCGAGGTCTTCTTTCGAGCACAGCGGGCTCGAAAGGGAGACACCGCAGTAAACAAATGAGCAAAGTGGGTCGGGCCTGCCCGTAGTGAGCAATACTGTGGTATTAATATGTTAGTGCCACGTGTTAATAAATCAATGAAACCTTTATTATTATTATAGAAATTTTGTATCGAGCGCAATATTTATTTACTATACGTGTATATTTGTAATTGCGTGCAATATTGAATGAGATATTTTTATTTGTAGAATAAATTGCACAATGTTTATAAATGGTTAAACAGTAAACAACGTCATTCTTTGCGTAAGTTGTAAGTTATTTATTTCCCAATTGATCCGTATATAAAAAATATTTTTAAATTTTCAAGATAATAAGAATTATAATTTATCATAATAGCATCCGCAACCGTCGTTTAAAGTATTTTTCAGTTTAAATAAAAGTAGGGATTCTTGTTATTAAAGGAAACAAAATGGCCGACATCCTACTTTTCAGCATAAACGTTTTCGAATAATCATTATATTTATTTTTAAAACAAATTATTTTTATCGCATTATTTACGAATTAAATAAAATTATTATGATAATTTAATATCATTTTTAGTAAAGAATTTAAACAGACTAGGACGTAATTAGTGGACGTTTAATTCCGCCCCCTTGTGGATTAAATCTTTTCATTAACTAAGCTTAAACAAAAAGCTTTACGAAGGATAATTATTAACTAAAATTAATTAAATATTACTAAATAATTTAAAATGTAACAACGAGAGAGTTAATAATTTTAAGATTTTTTTTTTTACAAAAATACAAACGTATATACATTTTATGGGCGAAGACAAGAGGTCGCTGCTTTGGTGTAAACAAGTGGCGCGAATCGGTTCGTCAGTAAGGATATTATATTTTGAAATAATGAACGGACCCGCTAAATCTACATCGAAATTTCCATTTCCATTTACTCCTTACGACGTGCAATTAGAGTTTATGAGTAAATTGTATAATACATTAGAAGATGGGAAAATAGGAATCTTCGAAAGTCCAACTGGGACAGGAAAGTCTCTTAGCCTTATCTGCGGTGCGGTGACGTGGCTGAAGGAACACGAGAAAAAGAAAAAAGAAGAATTACAGAACGAAATTAATTTAGAAGATAACGTCAAAGAAGATGAATCCGATTGGTTTGCTTCGTTTGCAAAGAAAAAAGAGCAGATGGATAAAGTCAGAGAAGCTAAATCTGAAATGGAATACATTGAGAAAAGAGAGAAGAGATTTAAGGAATTAAAACAACAGATTAAAAGAAAAAGAGTCGTTAATAACTCTGAATTCGATGAGCTGTTTAAAAATTCCAAACACTTAAAAGAAACCGTCGATAACGATCTTTCGGACAAAGATAACGAGGATGTCGATATCTTACTCCTCGATTATGCTAGCGACGACGAAAGTAGAGAGGAGAACGGCGAAGAGGAGGAGGAGAGAGATACCGTTAAGATATACTATTGTAGCAGAACTCATTCGCAGTTGTCGCAGTTTGTTAGGGAAGTTAGACGTAGTCCGTACGCTTCCGACGTTAGGGTGATTTCTCTGGGATCCAGACAGAATTTGTGCATAAACGAAGCGGTTTTGAAGATGAAAAGTTTGAGTTTGATTAATGAAAAGTGTTTAGATATGCAGAAGAATAAAAAATCTGCCAGAATGTCTAAAGAGGTCAAGGATCTCTTGAAGGCTAGTAATGCTAATTCGAAAAACAGAGGCAGTTGTCCGTATTACCGACACGTGGCCATGGAAGAAATGAGAGATCGTATGCTCGTCGAGGTAGATGATATAGAGGAGATCGTCGAAATGGGCAAGCGGCATAGAGTGTGCCCGTATTATAGTTCGAGATACGGAGTCGGCGAAGCCGAGTTGGTGGTATTGCCTTATAATATGTTATTGCATAAACAGACGAGATTGGCTTGTGGAATAAAGTTGAAAGGGAACATTGTTATTATTGATGAAGCCCACAATCTTCTGGAAACAATAAATAACATACACAGTTCGGTTGTTAGTGGTGCACATTTGGCAAATGCTTATTCTCAGCTACATCAATATTTTCAACGTTTCAAGTCACGTTTGCATGCAAAAAATCTGATGTACGTCAAGCAAATACTATTTATATTATCTGCATTTATTAAGCATCTCGGAGGTAATGTCGATACGGTACCGACTGATATTTTAGGTGGTGAAAGTCAAACTAATATATACTCTCATGTAGATTTTTTATCGTTAACACAAATAGATAATATTAATTTGTTTAAAATATTGAAATATTGTGAAGTAAGTCAGATATCTCAAAAACTTCACAGTTTTGTTGGAAAATATCAAGTCACAATTCAAACGAAGCAGGAATCAAATGTATATGTGCAATCATCCATAACAAATTTCTTATCAAAAGTTTCCAATAAAGGAAATGCAGAAATAAATGCAACACAAAATTTATCGGACGACCAGATTCCGAGTGGTTCTCCATTTGTGCTCTTCCAGGAATTTCTTCGTGCACTTACTAATCCTAGTAATGATGGTCGTGTGTTATCGATCAAACAAGAAAATCTTCAAAAATCCAGTTTAAAATTTTTACTTCTTAATCCGGCACTTCAATTTCGAGACATAGTTTCCGAATGCAAATCGGTTATAGTTGCTGGAGGTACTATGCAACCGACATCCGATTTTGTCGAACAGCTCTTTGTGCCTGCAGGAACAAATGTTAACAGACTAGTACATTTTTCTTGTGGTCATGTGATACCTCCAGAGAATCTTTTAGGAATAGCATTATCACAGGGTCCAACAGGAAAACCATTAGACTTTACTTTCCAGTCAAGAGAGTCTGTAGATGTTATGGATGAACTTGGCAGAGTTATTACAAATATTTCTTCTATTGTCCCGGGTGGAATAGTATGTTTTTTTCCTTCTTATGACTACGAACAAAAAGTATATTCTCATTGGGATAAAACAGGATTTATTTTCAAATTGAACGTAAAGAAAAAAATATTTCGAGAGCCTAAGAAATCTAGTCTTGTAGATCAGGTTTTGGCCGATTATTCGAGATCGATCTCTCAGTCTAAAAATACTTCTAGTTCGGGCGGTTCGATATTATTTTCTGTGGTAGGAGGGAAAATGAGCGAAGGAATCAACTTCTCAGACGATCTCGGAAGATGCATCGTCATGGTCGGGTTACCGTATCCAAATATAAATTCTCCGGAGTTAAAGGAGAAAATGAATTACTTAAATACCATTGCACCAAAAGCAAAAGACGGAAGACTGCCGGGTCAAGTTTATTACGAAAATATATGCATGAAAGCGGTGAATCAGTCTATCGGCAGAGCCATACGTCACAAAGACGATTACGCGATTATTTTACTTTTAGACGGTAGATACCTGCGGCCGTCCGTGACGTCTGCGCTGCCGATGTGGATATCTTCGAGACTGACGAGTTATCCGAAATTTAACCAAGCATTTTCGGCCATGCGACAGTTTTATGCCGATAAAAATAATTAATTTAAAATCTCGCAGATAGCATCTCATTTAATCTAATTAAAATTACTTAAAAATTGAAGTTGATTATACAATATTTGCACCAAAGCGTAAGTTGTTAAAACTATTACTGTATATAATTTATTAGAAAATATTTTAACGTCAACAATTTTTCTTCCATTTAAAAAATATATAGCAATTATTTAAATTTTTAAGAATTTAAATTGCACATCTGTGATTTTAGATTATTTATTTTAAAAATTTATACAAAAAGTTTGCAGTTTATAATATATACATATATTATATATATAAAGTTATTGAAAAGATAATTAATTACAACTTAATTTGAACAATTAAAGCTATCTTTAAAAGTATTTTTGTAACAGTTAACTAAATATATTTCTGCCATTAAAGGCTTGTTAACATTTTAAAAAATTATGTAGGAGATATAATAAATTTGTTAAATGCTGTAAATATAAAATAGTGTTAAATTATAGTGTTGTTAAGAATGAAAGATAATAGTATGAAAGTTTTTTTATAAAGCTTTTATTAAAAAAACTGAAATCATTTATGAAAATTATTGAAATTTCTTTAAGAATCAAATTTAATAATGTTAAGGAAGCTTGTCAATTGTGTGTTAAATAACAAGACTGATATGGGTCAGACAGAATAGAATCTTTAATCCAGTGTATAATTATAATTAAATAACAAACATTTTTGGATAAAATTGCAGTTCTGAATGAGGCAGTTTGGACCTTATCGGGGTATAGATCGTGTCCACGAGAGTAAAAAAATGTCTGGAACCAATGGTCTACATCCGATCCTTTGCAGTATATAGCCCCTTGAAACTGGTCTGTCTGGAATTTTGAAACCCTAAAAAATGGAGTAAAATTTAAACAGATATAAACATTACTGAAACCCGATGCTTAGCAAATAGACACCCACAATTGCCGTAAATAATTTATGGCAATTGTGTTTATCCATTTGTAAAATTTAAAAATGAAAAAATTCAGAACTATTTTTTAAAACAATCAGGGCTGTGGAGTCGGAGTTTTGGTGTTTTAGCTGGAGTCAGAGTCGAATGGTAAGGAAAAGTTGGAGTCAGTAGATTTTTACGCGACTCTGAAAACAAAGCAAATAGTTGATTGTTTTTCATTTTAATGAAGATGGCTATAATGTGAGAAATACCATTGCATCCACTACTTCCGATCTATGCTCCATTATTTCGGGGGCTATATCTCGTGAATGTTTAAATGTACACCATCAGTTTATTTGACTTTTCTTACTCCTGTCAGAATGATCTACAGCTTTCATAAGGTCCAACCACCTCGTTCAGAGATGTATTTGTACCCATTTTCTAACTGTTTGTTGTGTATTCTGTTCTGTGTTTTGAACTCAATGGCCAATAAATGTGACCAAAAATGTATTATTTAATTATAATTACTGAATTAAAGATTATTGCTTATTTTTTAAATTTACTTTTAATCAAACTGCTTTTTTTCAGACTGAAAACTTTTTAGAAAACTAGTACTTTTGGGCATTGACATTATCGGGAGACAATGAGAGTGACAGTGACGACAAAGATTTATTTCCCTTGTTGAATCATGATTTGTAAAGCCGAATGTTTGAATTTTCTAAAATATTTTCATTTCAAGCAAAGTAATTTGAATTTATTTTAACATATATAATAGCATAGCATTTTACTTATATACGGTAGAGTCAAAAATAAACTGAACTTTTGATATAACTCATTATGTTAATAGTACAATTATTTACAGAAGACCACCTTCAAAATAAGCACCTGCAACTATACACTTCTAGCATTGTCAAAGCAATAATTGGAAGCTATGTTTTATGATGTCTTCTGTGTGCCCTTTTAAAGATGAGGCTTCTGCCTTGACTTATACTGATCAGCAAATATTTTACCAAGAAAGGCATAACAGTGCTTTTTTCAATCTCCTTACTCCTTGATTTCGCCCCTCAGACTTTTATCTGTTCTCCACAAGAAAAGAACAATTAAATAGTGGATAGCTGCTACAACAAAAACCATTAAAAATTCACATCACAAAAAATGGCTTCCTAAACTGCTTTGACAAGTGGTATAGACAGACACCAAGGACAAATGGGTGACAGAATGAGCTTACTTTAAAGGGTAACATGACAGTGGCTCTTGAACTTTTTAATGTGATGCCCCCTTTTTAATAAAGAAATTCTTGCCTCACTCCTACAAGTTATAAAAAAAACTCCAAAACTAGTATTCTTACATGTATTTTATTCTAATAAAGTAACATTTACAGATATTACTAAATGAAATAAAATTTTGATGATGTAATGACTAGATTGTAGTCATAAGCATAATGATAAAGCTACGGTAATATAATGTTAATGCATGAACACAAAAATTGCAAGTGTATTTAACACATTTGTACTGAAAGTTATGGATAGACTATTGAGTATTGCTGGAGACAAACATGAAAGTACACAATAATAATAATAATTATTTTGTATTCACTTTAAATGGTCTTGCACCAACTCTGAAGGTGTGCCCCATAGTTGAGAACCATCGTAGTGTAGTATGAGTTTGTGTTACGTATTAAAACGTGCCAAAATTTCAGTTTATTTTTGGTTTTGCTAAGTATTATTTTGCATTAATCATCAAAGTAAGAATCAAAATACTATTGAGATTGAAAATTCTATCAATTTAAAATTAATTCTTTTGCAAATTTAACTAAATTTAAAAATTTGTTTCAAATAACATAAATATAGAAGAAAATAATAAAAAGTCACTTTGGTTTTTACCAGATAAAGTTTCTTATGGTGATAAAGAACCATAATAATTTAAAGTATCAAAAAGTATGAATTTTTTCTATGCAGAAAGTCATTAAATTTTTATGCATTTACTGTATTATTGTTTATGCAATTGTTTCAGTTGAAGATTAATTTTTTTTTTTTAAAACATATAATAAAAGTGAAATTATATTATATATTGCATTACTTTATATTCTGATATATTGATAATTAGAACAATTATTAAACAATTGAAGTATTTCTGATATTCTTTGCAAGAAATATGCTTGATTAGTGAAAAAGAATTACATTGATGACAGTAATCTACATTTGTGATTTTATAAATTTACTTATATGTAAAAATATATAATTTATGACTTGAAATATTAGAAATCAAAAATTTCTTTAAAAAGAAAATGAAAAATTTATGCATCTGTAATTTCTTCTAGTTCTTGGTTCTGTGAAATTATTTACATTTTGTGTGTTCTGCATATGTTGTTGTGGTAAACCAATAAAATTAAATATTGAAATAATAGACTGTACATAATTGTCTATATGAATTTATCTTCTAAATGCAACAAGCATCAAAAAGAGTGTGATGTTTCTGGTTATTGTGTCATCATACAGATGCATAACTTAAAAGAAACTGTTCAATAATTTGTTATTTTAATTGAGAGATATAGAAAATTAAGATCCCTTGTACAATTCTTTCACGAAGAATGCTTATGAACGTTATATAGTGGACTGAACTCAAAGGATGGCTAAAGGGCTAGTATATTAATAGTAATGTACATTGTATTGGGTCAGAAGATCAGATTCACCACACAAGCTCAGTTTTATTTATTTATTTTTAACATACATTTTATTTTGCATGCCTTAAAACAAAGTATTTATTTCTCTTTCTTATCTTCAGAAATTTCATCTATTTCTGATATGTTTTTTTTTTTTTTTTTTTACTTTTTTGGTTTATATGTAACGGAGGGAAAGTGTGACGATCGGTCAAAAAATGACCCTCAGATTTTTACATTTTTGGACTCGGGACCTTGAAATGTTGAGAAATGCAAAAACATTTTGGGGTTTTGTTCTGTATTTGAGTGGGGCACAATTTTGTTCACCCTCTTTGAAGCTTAATAACTCCCGTGTTTTCTGTCAAAAATTTCTGAAATTTTGCAGGGAGGTTTGTATATTAGGTAGATCGATGCTATTAAATTTTGGTGATTAAAGGTCGAGGAGGTGAAGAGATAAAGGGGGTCACGTGTATCTTCGGTATGATCTGACTTAATTATTAATGGCAATTTTACTCATTAACATTTAAAATTTTTTATAAAACCCACTCCTATCCTCAAATTAAGCTTTTTGCCATTTTATAATAATTAAAAATATAAAAAGTTTTTTAAATAAATTATCATAACAGTTGATGTCACCAAATGTTGCCGAGAAAATTAAGCAACTCGTTGCTGGATTTTTTTAATGTAAATCCATAGAGTGGATCCTTGCAACTCATCTTAAATAGAACAAACTTCATCTGTGTGGGAGTCCAGTCAAAAATTTATTTATTTAGCTCTTAAAAATAGTGATTTTGTATGTTAACATTTAATTTTTACTTATTCAGTTACTGAATATAACAGGAAAAGTATAGTAATTGGTCAAATTTTGACCCTCTGATTTTTTCCTTCAACATTTTGACACTCCACAAGTCCAAAAATGAAAAAAGAACTCTTACAAAATTCTGTATTTTGATGTCTATTCTGTGTTACATCTCGACCCCATAGACCAAAGATTTGAAATTTGGAAAAAATACTTCTAAATATGGGATATTTATACTATTACTTTTTGAAGATTACAAGTTGAGGGGGGAGAGGAGGAAGGGATAATATCACAGGTTCAGACTTAATGAAAATTTTAATACACTAAAAATAAGTCTTTTGCCCTTTGTAATAATAAAAATAAAATTTTTTTAATGAAATCTCATTGCATGGCATAACATACAACTTTGAGGCATACTCTTAGTGTTTAACCTTCTATAATCCATTTTTTTAAAGTTCAATATTCTTTTTTGAGTAGTGAAATTTCTCTTAATTCAAAGAAGTTAAACTTATTATTAAATTTTGTATCTTACTTGTTAGTTTAATTGAAAATTATTAGACTTCCTTCCCAAATGATGAAAGTGAGAAGCATTTCATCACTTATTCTTATGTGAATTGCATACAACAATTCTATTTCTCTTAGAAGTTTTTCATTATATAAATTAACATATATAAATTCTGTTTTATCATCTTTATCTGGAAAAGCCAATTACTTTAATATTTATCTTAAATACAGCTATTTATTTTCTTATATATATAGTTTATTTACCTTATAATAGAGAATGTTGCCAAAATTGGCCTTGTGTGTGCAAATTGGAGAATAAGGAAGAGAAAGTCCTAGAACAAAATTGTTCAAAACAATTTGTGATATGCAAGAGACAAAGAAACCTAAAAAAAATGTTGGTAAAATGGAGGACTCAGTTTGTATCTATAGAAGATGGGTAGATAAATTCTATATAATTTTTTACTTGTTTTCTATAAGTATTTAGGATCACTGTTATAAGGCAACACAACACACGAGCAATCAGCCAAGAAGGTGCCTTCCAGGAAGACTTCCTATGGAAAACTGGCACCATATACATGTTAGACAAGTGAAAATCCAAAAAAGCTCCGTGTGGCCAGTGTATTGGTGAGGTGTGACCTATGAGCAATGTTCAGTGCTTTTATCCATTTTGCCATCACTGTGGACAAACTAATATCCAACACTATCTAATTAGTAACCTGTAAAAATGTGTTTTGTAGTCCCGTGGTCTGTGGAGAAATTTGAACATTGATCAAATCAAGGTTACTTGAAGTATTACAAAAGAAATAAGAAGTGCTTGGTTGCTTTTCCTCACTCATTGGGGGTTTTTTTTTTATTGAAATCTTAAATCAAACAGGAAATGACTTATCAATAAACAATAATGTCAATAAATCAATAAATAATGTGAGTGTGATTGTTGTCCTTTGTGGAAAACCAAGAATCCATAAATTTATTTCAAACAAACTTCACATTAATTTGTTATAAATAAATAAGTGAATTTCATATTAATAAAGTAAAATGGAACTTTTATAATCATTATTTTATAGATGTTTGTATCATTTTTAAAAAATTGAAGAGAGTAATTTGCAGGATTTAAAATTGCGAGTTCAGTGGTCTGTAAGGTCAGAAAGGTTGGTGACCACTGTTGTAGTCCATCCAGGCTATTATAACTTGTATACAGTTAGATTTTCAGACAATTTCTCTTTCATACAAAACATTTTGATACCCGTAAGTTTCTTTTCATATGCAAAGTTTACACCTTTGTATATTTTTGTCAAAACATATAAAAATATATTTCTGCATTTTTACTTTTCTCTATTTATTAGAATATATTATCTTACTAAAGATAACATTTTTTATACTTGACATAAAATTATAGTAAACTTTTAAAATGTCCATTTTTATGTGACCTTTGCTCTTGACATTTGTCATTTATATAGTTCAAATCATAGTAATATGTGTCTTTGTAAATGGCATAAAGATTGATCTGCTTGTACTTTGATCTTCTAGTATCTCTTCTCTTTCTCTGTAATAGATACAGTAGTAAGTTGCTATTTTTCTGTGAAGATTGCCATATTTTTGATGATAACATCCATTGAGTGGTTAAGTATTCTTTTAGATATGTATGTTATCTTGTTCTTGTTATCTATGTTCTTCAGTATTCATTATCTGATTAACTGATTTTCAGTGTTGTTGTGGAGTGGTTTTAGTAGATATTATTCCAGATTCTAGACTATTTGGATTTTCTAAATTTTCTTTCCCTGTCTTAGGTACTTTAATAACATTGACATTAAAATAAATTTTAAATAAAAACACATTTATATAGCTATGAGAATTTTTAAAGAAGAAACAATTTGGTATTTTTTGATTTCTCCAATGCTGTTTTGAACTACGTCATATTGACTGGCAATTTTTTCTTCCTGAAATTTCCCTACTTGTTGCATATCCTAGTTAACTAAGGCACTAAAATGGCTAAAATATGAGAACTGTCCATTGTTTAAGACTTAAGAAGTTGAACCAAGGCTGTATTGCTTTTAATCTGACAAAGATTGTTTGGTTAATTGGTTTGGTGGGATACAGCAATGCAACTTGTGGTAAATCTGACAAGAAGGAATATCTACCGGGAGGACTTTCTACGGGAAACTGGCCCTATTTAGATGTTAGACACACACAGAAAACCACACATCTAGCCCATTGCCAAGGTGTAAACTTGCTAGCATTCCGTGGTTTTATCCATTCGGCCACCGGTGGCCAATTCCAAAATAGACAATTTATATATATATATTGCACCTTATATCAGTATAGGCTGTAGATGGTGTATATGATTCAAATTTAAATCTTTCATAAAGCAAAAAATAGTGAAAATGTTTTTTATTCATTTCAATATCTGTCAAGACTGACCAAACTTAACTACTGTACTTTGTAAGTATGGAATTTGATCTTAACATCAGCCTTCTTTCAATTTGTTCAGAATGGGTTGATAAGAGGTAAAATCAAAGAACACAACGTCCTTTCGGTTGATTGAAATACGTTGTCCATGTTTCCTTTATATAATAAAAATTTGTCAGGATTAATGATTATTATAATACAGTGTATATATATATATATATATATACTGTATTATAATAATCGGGATTGAAAAAATTGTAATTAGATCATTAATCCTGACAAATTTTTATTAAACATATATATATATATAAGGTCACATTCTGTTGTTTACGATTGCCACTCCCTCGTAAATTATGTCCTACTTATAATTCATGGATGTAGGTTAATAAAGATCGCGTTGAAAGATTAAAAATAAAAATGCCGTACAAATGTGAAAATATGTCCAAAAACTTCACATAAAAGATTAAGTTGCCAACTTTCAAATGTCAAAACTGCCGGAATAAATTTTTCGGGACCAG